ATCTTTGTGCATATTTGCACATTGTTCTACCATTTGAGCTAATAGCCTTGACAATATATTACAATAGACACCAAAAAGAGTATTTAACATCACAAAAGAAATAAAAAAGAAAAGAATCAATAATGCAATCAAGAAGCAACAGTAACTTGTAAAAGAATGAGTGTAATTTTCAACATAAAATGAACTTTAAAAGCTGTGATTTGAAGGCACTCCTCCCCCTTAACCTCAAGCTCTTTGATTTCAGACCAAAGTTCACAAGCTGAGCTGAAATCAATGGCAGGGTCACATAGTTCTATGTATTCATTTCTTCTTTTTTTTGTGGCCACCATATCCCTGCAAGAAGTGTTTAGAGCACAGTTAGCCTATTCTGAGTTGTATACTATCCTTGGAGGCCTCAAAAGTTCTTTCGTATTCTTTACTTTGCTAATGTTCATCGAAAATTATCACAAGTGTTTATGGCCTCACAGTAAATGTAATTAATCTAGTATTTATTCATTACAGCCTTTTTTGAATTTTGATGAATCGTTTGCCTAATTGAGATTCCTGAATTAGAAAACGAAGGAATATACACATAGAAATGAAATTAGAGCAACTAAAAGGACTAGGTTGATAGTATCATGTACTCTAATAACAAATGATAGAACAAATTTTAAAGATATTATATCAAACACTTGAAGTGCAAAATAATAACTTCTTTTGAATGACTATTGGAAGTATTTCCATTACTAGTATTAATAACATGAGAATAAAAATACCCCACCATTACAATTATAAAACACGGAACCTAAAAACATAAAATCATATGTGACCTGCAATTTTTTTCTATTATAATGGCCATCAAGTATTTCAAGTTAGACATGAACTTGCTTGGTTTAACCTCAAAACATATATCCTAGTAAATAACGCTCAAAGAAGATTGGGAAGAAATGGCTGAAACTCACGGTTGTGTTTGACAAAGAATATTGGCAAGTCCGCCCCAAATCCTATTTAATAGAAATTTGGTTGTGATTTGTATGTCCTGCAATCCGCATCACTGAAAGATAGAATTGGTGAAGGAAACAAAACCATATCAACAAACCAAGTTCAAGTCTGTTAGAAGGGATGAGAGAACGGAACAATAGAAGCTTGTAGTAAATTATTCCGACGATTCGATCGAAATACACAATGAAATTCGTTAGGAATCTGGGAGGAGAGAAACTGAATGACGGAGAATTGTGTTTCTATGAACAAAGTATCGATACTAATAGTAGGTGGTTTAAAGCCTCATAGGCATTTTATACTAGCATAAGCTACTATCTCATTCTACTTTTGTTTTATTTATCTAATTCCAACTCTTCGTTTTCATGTGATAAAAACATGTAAGACCAGAATATAAGAAATCTTATATACTCTGTAACTTTTAGCATAAAATGTATAACTTATAACAACAAATGGATAACTTATAATTTAAAGGTCAAATTGGCTCACCTAACTCGTTTTAAGAAAGTGATTTACTAATCAAACACAACTGAATGCATAAATGAAATTTTACATTTTTCAATTGCAACAAGTAAAGCGGAAAGTAACAAGATCCGCTACTTAAAATGACATGTTGGAAGTATACGCAATCGCTCTATAGAAGAAAAATCAAAAGAATAATTACTAATAAGCCAGCCAACAAATATCAAAATCTCATTGCCAAGACAATAAAGAAAATAAAAAGTTTGAGCAAAAAAGCTTCTCCCGTACATTGGTTCTTCATGTTTATCTCAGGTTAAATCCCTCAAGTCTTCTATCAAACTGTAAAAAACATATCAACCTAACTATATATTTTCCATCCCAAAAGGAAACTTTAGAAAAACAAGACAAAAACACAATAACCCAAATTTGTAACTCTCAAAAGTAAAATCAAGACAATAAAAGATTCAGGAACTATTTCAGAAAAATTATAATATAAATCAAATAACAAAGACTCACTATATGCTAAATCTCGATCAAAATACTAAATGAAGTTCTAAGATACATTCAGAAATAGTTCACATGACCATGGTATAAAAACTAAAAGCTAGTTATCTGGACATATGAGCTTCTGGCATTCCTCCACGGCTCCACACTTACCGAAGTCTTAAAGAAAAAAACTCAATGAAGTTCCTCAAATTGTTTGAAATGAAAAGAAGTGATTACCAATACTCTACCAAAGTATAAGCTATTGATATGATTTTTCATTGAAGAATTTCAACACACTTTGTAGGTATAACATAAATTTAATACTACAGAAACTGAAACTTGGAATATCTTCCTAATGAAATGGCTAATTTAATTAAAAGTACATGTTTACAGAATCAAATTAAAACCACATCTTTTCCTCGTAGTTTTGTCAAGTAAATAGACAAATCTTCAGTACATAGATTGATGACACAAAATCAAAAGATATTAAGAGCAAATATTGAGGCTTGATCATTTTAATTTGGAACCTATCTTCGATGGATTTGGACTAACCTTAACGGCCTTGATGGTTTTCCATATATTGGACATTCTACGTATGTATGTATGAAGCATATCGCAGACGAGTGTTTCAGATATGATGAACTTGTTGCTCACTATTTCAATCGCTGGTTGATTGCTGTAATTAAAATCAAAATGTTGGATTAAGATGAAACAGAAGCAACCGATCGAAGAAAACCATGGAAAACGACGAGGGAGGAGATCAGGGACAGAGACGGAGAAACGAAGCCCAAAACTATGAAATTTTTGGTCAATTAATAAAAGGATATAAATTAAGAAATATTTACCAAATTTGCCATTAATGAGATGCGCTTGTTTTGGATTGATCTGACGGTCGAGCATACTAATCCGACGGTGGAGTATGCTTCTCATTTTTCAGCCCAACATACACTTCTCATGGGATCTCTCTCTCTCTCTCTCTCTCTCTCTCTATATATATATATATATATATATATATATATATATATATATGTGTGTGTGTGTGTGTGTGTGTGTGTGTGTGTGTGGTGAGTGTGTGTGTGTGTGTGTGGTGAGTGTGTTTGTGTTAATTTTAGTTCTTGATTTATGTTTATATATTATATAAAATGTGATAAAATTGTAACGTTAAAATGTAGAGTATAAAGATACAATACACTTCTGCAACTATATATGTGTGTATGTCTGGAATGAAAGTAGACCAGCCATTATTCACTATTATTCCTCTTTCAATGAGTTTTTATTTTACTAATTTTTCCTTATATTTTAGAAACTTTCAGACCTTGCATGTATGATGATTTTGTTAAATGCTTTTTATCCTCGTACTTTAAGCAATTATACCTAGGGATGGACTGGGCCGGGCCAAACCAGCCCGGAACCGGACCGGCCCGCTACTGTGCGGGCCCGGTTGGCCGGTTCCGGGCTTTTAGCCCGTGTAGGCGGGTCGGGCGGGCCGGGCTCGGGCCCAGTTTTGGGCGAACCGGCCCGGGCGGTTCGGGCCGGGCCCAACTCAATTTTTTTTTTTTTTTTCAATTTTTTTTCTTTTCCTAGGGTTGGGCTGGGTGTTTTGGGGAGGTTTGGGGGTGGGGTGAGGGGGGGGGGGGGTCGGGGGATAACAAGAAAGCAAAAAAAAAAGTATTGAACCGGGCCCGGCCCAGCCCGGTTAGGCCCGGACCCGGTAGCAACCCGGGCCGGTTCCGGGCCCAAGGAATTGCAAAAAAAGCCCGCACGGGCCGGGCCCGGTCCGGGTCCATCCATAATTATACCTCATTAAAATTTCTAAAATTATACTCTGTATAATTCTCTTCTACACGAGAAGAATTTTTATTACTACCTCTATCCAGGCCTAATTCTCATTGGAAAATGACACAATTATTTAAACAATAATTAAATATTGTAACTCAAGTATATATTTAGAAAACTAATTTTGATGAGTATATAATATAAATGGGTCATTAATGATAACTGTAATGTTAAAAATATATGGAGTATTATTTTTAATATTTGATAATTGAAAATATCTAGAAAATGGAAACCTTTAATTGGGAGTTGGGACATCCAAAAATTGAAAATCAGAATCTTAGGCTGAAATTAAAAGTTATAAATAGGGCAAATTATACTATGAGATCGACACAATATGTGCATGGTGTGCCGATCACACTACTCCTATATTTTACTTCCCTTCAATTGCGCATTTCATTTTCTTTTTGCTTCTTTTTCTTTATTTTCCTTTCCTATAATATAATTCTTTGTTTTTCTTCTCAGAATTCTAAAAATATAATTGCAATTTTAATCTAAATAAAATAATCATATTTTATTTCACATTCATATACTCCCTCCGGTCCTAAATAAACTTCATACTTTAACTTCACACAAATTAAAGAAATAAATTTGAATTTACTATAGAGTACACTGTTGTGACACTATTTTGTGTAGATAATTTGCCAAATAAGGAAGGGAGAAAAAGTGTGAAGTTTATTTTGAACATATCCAAAAAAGAAAGTGTGAAATGTATTTAGGATCGGAAGGAGTACTATATTTTTTAATGTAATATTTTTTTGTATTATACACTTTTTTTGTTTTTTGTTATATTCATAGACTTTTGATCTATAATATATATTTTATTTCTTTTAGACATTGAGTTTATTTATTTTGATTCATGAAATTATATTTGTTATTATACGGAGCTTCCGACTATATATTTTTAGGCACATGTTACATTTTTTATGCGCGAGTTTCATTTTCTTATACGCGAGATACAACTTTTTATGCGCAAGTTTCATAATCTTATACGCAAATTATATATTTTTATGCATGAATTGCATCTTCTATGCTCAAGTTACATTTAGATTTTTCTCAACAAATTTTATTTTTCATATATCTAAATTAGATTTTTCATTGACGTAAATTACTTTTTTCATGGCACAAGTTACGTCACAAAATACACCCCTACTATTGAGACAAAAAATCATTTTATTTGTGACAAAAAAATCATGACCTTAATATTAAAAACAAAACATATTCACTTTTTATGTAATGTAGTTAAGCAATTAAACTCCTTTTTATCATTGTTTACAATGAAATCAATGTTCAATTTTTTATACTCCGTATTAGACAAGTTACATTTCAACTTATCTACAGATATATTTCTTATCAACATAAGTTACATTTCTTATGTGCAAGTACTTACATCCCTCTCCTACTCGAACAAAAAAAATTATTATCTACACTATTACTGTTCACGCGTGTTTTAGCTGTTGGAGCATTATGTTCACCTTTGACTGCTCTCACGGTATAACAACTTATTGATGACAGGCTTCTATTCGAACATTGTGTCTCTGTCTATGTGCATCTGGTATGATTGTAGTAATGAGAAATTATGAAAATCCCACAAAATAGTACTCCCTCCATCCCGCTACAAGATTCCCGTGAACGATTTACGATGCTTGACTGACGATAAAGCAACTTAATCCCTGTTCACACTCTGATTAGTTTTAGTAAATAAAATTAATATATTCAGAAACTACATTAAAACCACTACAAAGGCTAATAAAAAATGTAAATTTGATAAAAATTTGATTTATAAAGTAAACGATTAAAAATGATTTAAGTTGACCATGCAAATAGTGGACGGGAACCTTCTAATGGGACGGAGGTAGTATTTAACTGTATTGGTGTCTACAAAATTATGAAAATCCCACAAAGTTAAATGGTCAGGTAGTGGAAGCAAGGGATGGAGACATCTCTTCATCATTCTCTTCGGGAGTAATAAAAGGGATAGGCTTGGTAGGAGCGGGAAGGCGCCCTACACTATCAACTTTGTCCCTTAGTTTAGGAGGTGGCCTTGCAGGCCTTGGGAGTAATCTACCCTTCTTCTCGAACCACTCAGGTTTGAGTAGTGCACGCAGACCAAGCTTATTGTAGTGCACTTTCCTCACTGAACCACCTTTAGCTTCCACAGCTGCTTTTGCTCTAGCTGTTACCCTGGAAACCTATATACAAGAAGATGTGCACTTTTATAACAAGTCAGCACACCATTCCAGACAGAGTTCATTTCTTTTTAGGAGGGTGTTCGGTTCACAAAACGTAAGATTAACTTAGTAGGATTACTTCCTTAATGTAATGTGAGTACAGAGGGATGTAAGCTTGACTAATGAGTTTGGTTGGGATGTGAGGGGTTAATTATCATGGTTCGAAATTGCAAAATGCAATAGCGCCTTGAGGCGCATCTCACAGATTTTTAGTGAGGTTACCATTCAAGGCGTAACAAGTTTCACACAATACCAAGGCATATGTCTTATATGTGCCACACACACACCATAAGGCGAACGATTAGGGGCGCAACAAGGCTTATGTAATTGGAGTTTCAACAATATTACATGAAAGTGTCCTAGTTAAATAATAACTGGGTACAGTTTTTATTCAAACCCAATTATTTATTATTTTAATAATACTAATAAAAATAATAATAATAATACACCATGTTAAAAGTAAACCAGTATTGGTGTTCAAATCCAACAGAATAGCCTCAGGTTTATTGTCTGTACCTCAAAATGAATGGGCCATTCAATTTTTTCGGCTCCGCGTCCCATTAATCTGACACCATCTCCAATTTGTTTTCCCACTGCTCCAGAGTCCTGTAGTGAGACGAGGAGAATCATTCAAACATAGAAGGATCAGGTCAAGTAGGAGCGAAAGATACAAACCTTGAGAGTTTTCATAGTTATCAACTCTGATGAGTCGATCTTTCCTGCATTGATCAGCTTTGCTACCTTCCCTAGCCCAATTGGCTGAGACAGAAGAGCAATCATGGTAAATAGGCATTAAAGAGCAATATGAAGAACACCCATTTTCACTTCATATGATGAATCATTTGTACATGGATGAAAGCTTGTACATACATACCTGAAAAGTGAGAGAGAACGGATTATTGAATCCGCGCTTAGGGAGACGGCGGCGGAGGGGGGTCTGACCTCCTTCAAAACCGAATTTCATAGTGCCGCGTGCCTTCTGGCCCTTGTGTCCACGACCCGCAGTCTTCCCCTTACCTGACCCTATACCACGGCCTTTCCGGGTGTTGGGCTTGCGGGCGCCCTTATTGTCCCGGAGGTCGTTCAGGCTCAGAAGACTATACGCCCTCAGAATGTGGTGGCCAGAAAACCAACCCAGTTCACGATGCTGCGCAAAAATGGACTGCTGGATCGTGGATCCAATAATCGTGGAGCAGGATCTCTGATTCGTCTGGACTGTGGCTGCATTGCGGAACGGCGTTGAGGATATGAGTGAAGTGAATAGCCTTCTTTTCAACATTTATGATTCTGTTTGGCGGATTTTATGACTAGCAGGGCCGGTCCCGAGAAATCGCAGACCCTGTGCAACAATAAAATTTGGGCCTTTTTTTAAAAGTTCCAACGTAAATAATTTGTGTTAAATACCAGATAATAATGAAAATAATAATAAAAATAAGGAAAAATAACTTTAAATAATACCAACTATCTTCCATGAACCAAGAATAATACATACTTTAGATTTAACTTCTAATAATACCAACTTTTTGAATGTAGAACAATAATAAAATGGAGTCGCTTTTATACAAGAAATCCAGCCTTTTAAAACATAAAAAACTAATACTAAACCTTCAAATAAATGATATTTGGAAATATGGTCACTTATTCGATATTTTGATATTATTCTTTGATGAGTTAAATGACTGATTGTTTAGTGAAAATTTACTATATATTACTTTTGGTATATATTCAAATAGTTGGTATTATTAAAAGTTATTTCTAAAGTACGTATTATTCTTGGTTCATGGAAGATAGTTGGTATTATTTAAAGTTAATTTCCCCAAAAATAAAAGTAGATATTCTTCGAGCGTATTTAGATGCCAAGTCATTAATCCTATACATGTTTACAAACTTTAAGTTAAAATTCAGTTTATATTTTGGGTAAAACCAGGAGGCATGAACTAATGAAAGAGTATAATTATAAGCCTAAAGGTAGGCCTGGGACCGGTTCGGTTCTTATTCAAATTTGGTGGAACCGTTAAGAAATAAGTAACTCTTAATATCAGTTCAGTTCTAGTCAAAAATTTGTAGAACCGTTAAGGAACCAAATCAAATCCTAACGGTTCGGTTCTTGCTTATTATCGGTTCCTAAAAATACAATAACCCTTTTACTAAAGTTAAAAATTGATAGCCTTGTTACTTTACAAAAGCTGTTTGATTCTACTACGATTTAGTTCAAAGGAAAACTTCCAGTTTTTTAGACCAGGTTGATTCAATTCTATGCATAAAATAAGGTATTATCTGGAACAAGAACAACACTAACAAACACAAATACCATTGTTATTCACGTTACTGAAATGGAATCAATCATCCCATAGTTCACAACCCCAAGCAAAAATTAAAATCAGCTCATAAATATTCCATCTGTAACTAAATCAAAATCTGAAAATCCCAAAACTGAGCTTCTGAATACAACCATGCATCTACACCACAACAAATGAGCTTAATCCAAAAATACCTATTCATAAGCCAAAGCTTACCAATCTGAAATTATGTTTTGTGTTTTTATTAAAACTTCGAATGCAAAAACTTGGGGGAAAATGGTTTTTCAAAATTTTAAAATGGTAAAATGATATTTAAAAATTATATTTGGTGTTATTTTTGGTATTTGGGCTGAGTCGAGTTTTATTTTTAGAACGAATCACATAATGTTTTAAAATAAAACACAGATATGCAAGATCGATTTAAGAATTACTTACAAAAGAAAAGCTTTGTTGATTTCAACATCGGATCTTGCATATATGTAAGTTTTAATATTTTTTTCTGTTCGGCCGTTATTTTTATGGTTGTTTTTTCACATATTACGAAGAAGAGTGAATGGTGATCGTTCGATCTACCAAAAAACCCCTGATATCAATGAAAACAAACAAAATTACCAGATCTACTATTACCAGATCTGTATGGTTGGTTTTTTTTCCAATAAAAAAGGTTGCATGTTTTTTGCGTGTTAACAAATAACGAGTAGAAGGATTGGTGTTGTGTTCGTGCATGCAAGCGTTCGTGTGTTAGGTGCGATATGAGATGAAAAGAATTACCGATTTAAAATTTGATGTTGAACGGTGTAGGTTGGTCGTGGCCGCCGGAAGGAGTTTTGCACTGCGTCAACGTAGCATCGTTGTCAACCGGCCGCTGCGTAGTTCGTTAGAGAGAGAGATGTGTCTCGTGAGAAGCGGAGGGTTTTGGTAGAATGATGGGTGTCTGTCATCCGATGTATGTTGCCGGGTCATGTTTTTTGGGCTTAAGCGTGTGGGCTGGCTCTGCAGACTTTAGTTTATTTGGACTGCAGTGCATTTGGGCTACATTTCAAAAAATAAGGATACATGTTATATTACCCCGTCCCAAAAAATTATTTACACTTTGACTTGACACGGAGATTAAGAAAGTGAAATAAAGTCGAAATTTGTGATTGTAGTTATATAAGAAAAAGGTGAAATGGATGTGAACCACACAAATTGACCAAAAATGGTAAGTGAGTAGAATTTTTTGGGACGACCTAAAAAGGAAAGTGGGACGAATTTTATTGGACAGAGGTAGTACGTAAATATTTCAATTTTTTTGAAAGTTGGACTTGGTTATTTTTCCTAAAGCCGGAAACTATCCTTAAGGTCGCGGGTTATGTAAATTAGGTCCGTGTGGGGGTTTTTTGTAGTCTAAATTCGGTTTGAGTTCGTGTTTGGCAGGTTATATCCTAAATGTGAAATAATCTCATTTTACGGTTATATCTTAAAATCTAATTTCAGATATAATTAATAAAAAGTACAAACTGTAATAACACATAGTATTTTCCAAAATCCCCAACGATTCAACTCTCAAGAAGATAACTATAATAATTATTTTGTTTAAGGTGTATAAAAATTAATGATATAATAAGTGTCTAAAAATGTTAAGAAATAAAATTTATCGATAAAATGTGTCAAAGGTTGCTATAAATATGTTAGCATGGTCGTTACGGTAAATAAATTGAACATTTTTGTGGTCACTAAAAATTATTAAGTCAATTTTTAGTCCACCGTTATTATAATCATGTATTAGTAATTATGTTGGTTTATTATATTTTTTCAACATTATAGCTAATTATTTTTAGTAATTAATTCTCAAAAAATTAAATTAGAGTTATAGATGGGCAAAACAAATCAAAAAATTAGTTCTCTTTCATTAAATACACAACTATACTATATTTTAGACCTTCGGAAAATAGTTGTGATAATTGAAAATGTGGCCATGCATCATATGAACTTACTTAGACAGTTGTATGTTGCAGTATCCAGGGTTACCAATCGTCGTGGTTTAAAAATTCTAATTGTTGATGAAGATTAAGGAACCACTGACAAGACTCAGAATGTTGTATTCAAAGAAGTGTTCAACAATGTCTAGGTATACGTGAATTGTATTTATACAATGTTATGGTTTCTACGTAGTTTAATGTTTTTTATCTTTCAATTAATGGTAAGTGCTCATTTTTTAACCATAATATAATGAATGTGTTCGTTCGTTGGTTTGATCTATATAAGTATTCAATTGCGATAGATCAGAGCATTATCAATTGATAGTGTAATTTAAAAAAGTGAGCACAAATAAATTTGGGGAAAAAAATCTCAAACCGTGCATCGCACGGGTGAGTTTAATAGTTAGGGAAAAAAAGCAATTTACGACTGAGAGTCTGATAGAAGTTGTTTTTGTAGGAGAGATAAAATAGAAAATTAACATATAGAAAAACAAAAATTATAATGATTTAACCGAGTAATGAAGAAGTTAGATAGCTTGTAATTAAGGTAATTCACATATCTTGGCCTTACCTTCTCTTCGCCCTTGACGGGAGGGAGCACCGAGCAAGTAAACTAAAACGAACTTCACTCTTGATAGGAGATCTAACACCAGAAGAAACGTTGATGAACGGAACAAGAAGGCAAGGCAAGACTTTGATAAGAGAGAATTTGAAAGAGCAAATTAGCAGAGCAGCAAAGAGGCTAAGTTTTTCCTCCTAATGCTATGTGTAGTGAGCAGGCTAATGGGCAAACACTTGAAGAGGCCTTTTGGTTGTCTAATGGGCTACGTGGATTTACTGAACGGACCTCCTCCGCGCACCTTTAAAATGGCTGGGCGCGCCCCTTTTCTTCCGCAATTGGACAAATTTGTCCTCTTGTTTCTTAGCCATTGATTTTTGCAAACGGAACTCCGGCACGTATCTTGTACAGTTAGATTGATTTTGTTACTTTTTCATCTGGGTAATATTTGAATGGTCTGTGTAATTTTTCATCCATTTTTTTTTTGTTTAAATGGTAATTTTGAATGGTAATATAACTATGATTAACATTGTTTAAGATACTTTTAATTGGATTGATTTAAGTTAGAGCAATCCAGACTTAATCAGATCAAACCAGACCAGTTTAGATTAAATCACACATTCACATCAGATAAAATCAGAAAATTTCAATCCAATTGAAAACATTATTATTGATATTATAATTATAAATTTCAATCCAAATGAAAACATTCTGTCAAATTAATATGTTCTAGTATTGTACCGCACGAGAGAATAAAATTTACAAATTGCGGAATAGTTTATTATTATACACAATTATTTCATATTATCATATAATTTGGGGACGAAATCTTTTTGTTTACAAAAAATATAGTTTGATTGATATCTACGGTTTACACTTTCTTTTATACAACCGTTACAACTGCATGATTGATCATCACTATTATTCAAACTCGAGTTTTTTGGAATTTGATTGCGGCGTATAACTATTCGTATACTTTCTTTGTTCCTTAAAACTTTGTCAAGTTTGACCGACATAGAGATTAATAAGGTAAAAACTGTGTGGTTGATGTTTGTGCAAAAGGAGAGAAAATTATGACATGGCTTGTCGACAATGCTCTGTTGCCACCAGTGATTACGACATGGTCTTACTATCACGACGCTAGTGTTACAGGATGGGATACTCCGCTTATTCATCGAATTAAACAGTTTACAGAATGTCATAATGTTATAAGAGACCTCGTTACAATTGTATTGGATGATTGATATAAACCTTATATATTATAAAAACATAAATGTTTTTTTAACTTTGCGCAATTCTATGCTTCGTATTAGAATTTTTTGGAAGTTATATATTAGATTATATAATTTAATAAGTAACATTTTTAACTCTAGTAAACTAATTATCTTCATTTGTTATTTGTTTGACTAATTTCAAACGTGGAGGGCCTCGCCTTTTAAAACTCCATCAGCACTATGCTGATTCCACATTACGGTCATATATGTTACATGACTAGATTTATGATATGAATGATATTTAGGATGTTTTTAATTGAACTGATTTCGAACCAGATAGATTCAAACAAATCGAATCAGATATGACTAGACTAGATTTAAATAATACTCCGTATTATTAATCGACCGTTCACGAGACTTGACCTGTTTTTTTTAAATTACATATATGACATTGGTGTCATATGAAAGATCATAAAAAGATATTTAATTTGGTATAATTTTTATAAAAATTGGAGCAAAAATGAAAAAGTTATGACATTTTATTAAAAAAAATGAATTAGTTGCCACACGGCAGCATTTAATTGGATGTATATTTAATGTAAATTTGATATAGACAAAATGCTGGAGCACGGATCTCTGGAGGTGCGCCAAGCAAATGTAATTAAGGTGTTACTTATATTAAATTTTAAGTAATAATTAAGAAGACTAAATTTGTCCACTCATGGTTACGTTAAGCAATTGTGGGAGTGCGCGAAGCAACCCCTTTTACGGAATATGGATAAGTGGAATAACCCACCACACTAGTTGTCTAACTATTACTCTGTATGTAGTAAGATTTAGGGCCTGTTTGGTACCAGCTGTGACAGCTGAAACTGCTGAAATTGCTGAAATGGCTGAAAATGCTGAAGTGAAAGTGTTTGGTAATGTCTTGGCTGAAGTGGCTAATTGAATGTATATTTACCAAAAAGGGTACTTGTTTCTTTGTATGTTAAATACATGTGAGTTAGCTTTGCTAGTAAATCTGTTTTACTAATATGAGTAAACTAATTTAAAAAGTTACACTTTATTAACTACGTTAAAAGCTCACATGTAAATAAATAAATAAAAATGAGACATAAAATTAGAATATGGCAGGAACATATTAATTCATTTTGCTTGAATTACAGAATTGGCAGGAACTAACACTTCAAATGCATGGAAGTGATGAAACAAGTTTGTGTGCAGAAGATTATATAGAAACGGTAGTCAAGATTACTTGTTCTTGCATTTTATCATCCTTCTTTAATATACATGACTACAACTAACTCACCCCCTCACCCCTTGTTCAGCCACAAAAATAAATATATGAATAAACAAGTCCACCCCTGATTTGGTTGAAGTTTTAACCAAGCAATGGACAAGGTGCTATACATTGTATGTTTAGTTTCACACCTTCACAGAATCACAGGAGTGTTAAAGAACACTAGCTACAGAGAAATCTGTGAGGTGTATTTGAAGGCTTCCGTAGCTCTCATTTAAATGAAAAATAACAAGATATGGAAGAACTTAATTAATATAGAAATCAATATAAATTTCCTATCTAAATAATTATGTTTCAGATATTTATGATAAATTGGCTGCCTTTGTTTCGATAATTTTAGCTTCAGCTCTTTAAAAGCAGAATAGCTGACCAACGAGATGAACAACCAAACAGTTTGAAGAAAGGCGTTAAGGCAATCTGTGATTCCTGGATCAACCGACCAACCGAGACAAAACAATAAGAAGTAAATCTATTATCCTGTTTTGCCTACTAACCTTATTTTAATTGCTTTATGATATCAATTTACAGCAAGTATTTAAAATTCATAATTTTTAATATCAACAAAAATCACCAGTGAGCTAAAACCCGCAATAAATTCGAAATTCAGCATGTCTAAAATGTCCAAGCCACATACAAAACAAAATAAAAACTCATGGCAGATCATAAGACCAAATCGATCTACTTCGAACGATGACACCCAATGAAACCCCAAAGGATAGAAATTTCAGTCGGTAAACCTAAGAAAGTTTAGAAAGGAATGTTAATATTGAGATGAAGACGAAATCAATACTTACCTTTGGATGAATCAGGAATAGCCGAGCAAGATGAATCAACGCATCTGGAATGAAGTCACAGGAAGAATGTACGCATCTGGGAGCCGCAGGAAGCCGACTTGTGCAGTTGTGCGTAGAAGAGAATTAAAGGATGACATATACG